ATATATATATATATATATATATTTAAGTTTTCAGCACTGGCAGTGCCGGCAGTGCAGAGTGCAGACAGTGCAGTGCAGTGGTCGTAGTAGTTTGCGTAGTGGATGTTTTTCAATCTCCTGACTCCTGGCGTCTGCAAATATCAAGAATTACTTAAATCGTGTGATTAATAAATAATTTGTAAAAAAAAATGTCTTTGGCCGACGAACTTCTTGCCGACCTCGAGGAGAATGACGACGCGGACGCGTTTATGGAGGAGCCGGAGCCGCAATTTATTCCGACCTCGGTTTCCAAAGTCATAGAAGAAGGTTAGTTTTATTTGACTGGGCATGCGATGCAAAACAATCTTTGTAGAATAAATAGATAAATGGTGAATCCGTTCGTTCCTTTCCCGAGTTCACTTTTATCTATTTGTTATTCAAACGCGAGCCTGACGATTATAGATTTAATAATCTTCGACGTATAATTCTGTTCTGATTTATTCAATTCAATTTACGTAATATATATTTACAGCAATGTTTTATATGTCATGATCGTCGAGCGTCGTTACATCGAATTAGTAAAATTTGCCTTTTTTTTTCGTGCAGAGATAAAGGTGTCCTCCGTTCGAGAGTTGGCTAAGCTACGAGATTCGGCGCAGTTGCAATTAGTTATGACACAGATTGAAAAGCACGGCAAGGTACCTAGAAAGTCGACCGATATTATAGGACCTGTGGAATCCGATCCAGAGTATCAATTGATAGTCGAAGCTAATAACATGGCAGTAAAAATTGACAATGAGATAGGTAATTGTACAGAGTATATCGGTTACAATTTGTTTTTATTTATTTAGGATGGTTTTAAAGTTTTAAGTAATATCTTAAAAAAAATATATATATATGTAAATAAGCAATAACAAATACTAATAGTAATAATAATAATGGTAATGATATGTAATACTATGTAGAGTATATAAATCATATAAAATTTTTATAAAGTGTCACTAATCACATTTTCATATTTTTTCAGCTATTATACATAGATTTACGAGAGATAAGTACTCAAAAAGATTTCCAGAATTGGAATCCTTAGTGGTAGGACTATTAGAATATGTGATGACTGTTAGGGAATTGGGCAATGACCTGGACAGAGCCAAAAATAATGAGACCTTGCAACAGTTTCTTACTCAGGCCACAATTATGGTTGTTTCTGTGACAGCATCGACCACTCAAGGGTAACATTTAAATGCATCGAATCAAATTTCTTTAATTTTAAATTTTTAGAAAGCAAACTTTTTGAAAAGAAAACTTTTACTCTTTAACATCTTTATGTCCAAATAATAAATGTACAATAATAATAATGTTAAAAAAAGATTGAATTTGAGGAATAACTAATTAGTTATTGAAAATAGAGAACGAATTGAGAATGGAAAAAATTCATCTGAATTGCTTTTTACGATTAATACGCAATTATTTATTTTTAATTTTCTCAAATTCGCACTTACAGCCAGTTGTTGACAGAGGAGGAGAAAGAAGCCATTTGTGAGGCTTGTGACATGGCAGTGGAATTAAACAATTGTAAATCAAAGATATTTGAGTACGTAGAAAGCAGAATGGCGTTCATCGCGCCAAACCTGTCGATAATCGTCGGTGCATCAACAGCAGCCAAGATTATGGGTATTAATACTTTATATAAAATCGCAAATATGCGTTAAGGAAAAATAAATTTTTTTTTACATTATTAGAATTTTTTGTTAAATTCAGGTGTCGCAGGCGGTCTGACGAAGCTTTCCAAGATGCCAGCTTGTAACCTTCTAGTCCTTGGATCCCAGAAAACCACGCTCTCTGGATTTTCGCAAGTCACAACCTTGCCTCATACGGGCTTTATATATTATTCTGACATCGTACAAGAGACTCCCCCTGTAAGTTTTGTTTTTTGCAATAAAGCATATACATACAATAAAAATTATAAAAAGTAATTAAATATCGTGTAACAAGAGATTTAACGTTCGCAAACACGTTGCAGGATCTACGGAGGAAGGCAGCAAGGCTAGTCGCGTCGAAGAGCATGCTGGCGGCTAGGGTGGACTCTTGCCACGAGAGCACGGACGGACACATCGGGCAGATGCTGCGTGAGGAGATCGAGAAGAAGCTGGACAAGCTGCAGGAGCCGCCGCCCGTGAAGTTCGTGAAGCCGCTGCCAAAGCCGATCGATCCCGGTCGGAAAAAGCGCGGTGGCAAACGCGTCCGCAAGATGAAGGAGCGCTACGCGATCACGGAATTCAGGAAGCACGCCAACAGGATGAACTTTGCGGACGTGAGTTATAGGGTCTTCTGGAATTTCGTGATTTATGTAATGTTGAGAGATAATCAGAGAACTTCAAGTAGTTCTTAGATAATCAATTGATCTAAAATTGATCTTTTAATTCAAATGATTAGTTTTCGGAGAAATAATAAGTTAACGAAGATGGAATTTAATAAAATTACAGTATAAAAAATTGATTATCCTTATAAAGATTTGAAACAGATTTCAATTTTTTTTTTGAAATTCTCGCGATCGTAGATCGAGAGTGACGCCTACCAAGAAGATCTTGGCTATTCGCGTGGAACGATTGGCAAGGCCGGCACTGGTCGTATCAGGCTGCCGCAGATCGACGAGAAGACGAAAGTCAGGATATCCAAGACGCTGCAGAAGAATCTGCAGAAGCAGCAGCAATGGGGTGGCAGCACGACCGTCAAGAAGCAAGTCTCCGGCACCGCTTCCAGCGTGGCTTTCACTCCCTTACAAGTACGTGTTTACGCTTCTCTGGGTTTAACAATTGCTAAACCGTTAATTGTACGCGTGAAAAGTAATTTTCGATTTCATTTCATTTTTTTTTTCTGACGACCGCCTGTGCTTGCAGGGTCTCGAAATCGTCAATCCGCAAGCCGCAGAGAAGAAGGTGAACGAGGCGAATGCGAAATACTTCTCCAATACCGCCGGTTTCCTGAAAGTCAAGAAAACGTAAATGTATATTGCAAATAAATGCGGAAGTGTTGTGTATCTTATTATGTAAGTATTAATTCTTTGATTTATTGAGCAGAGTTGAAATATGGATGGATAATAACCGACTGCTAAATAAAAATAGTACCTGCGATCTTGCAAACAATTACGAGTCTACGATGCAGTGCATCCGTCGCTTATCGCTGCGTAAAGATTGATATCTTCGTAAACATCAATTCGCCCCTTTTAAATGCACGTACCTACATTTATCCACTGATAATGTGGACAATAGAAAAAAATAGAGACCGGTGCTGAGTGTGGATCTACGCCACGATTGCACTGTGAAAAATTTGCAGTGTTGCTTTCTTATTGATTGATAAAATTTGATGAATTTGAGAAAGTTGTTAAAGTAAGACCTATTTGATTTTTGCACTCCCTTATGCTGGCAATTTTCGCCAATTGCTAGTATTAGTATCTTCTATTAGAAAGATGTATGATATTGCTCCATCTATTCATGCTACGTTCGTACTTTACACCCGCCGTAGAGCGAAATATAGCAAAACCTTCGCCGGCGAAAGTGCTCGATTTCACATCGACATTATTCAATGATAATTGAAGGCTAATAAATGGGGAAACGTTTCGACTCGTATCATTATTTGTCGCATGAATGGCAAATTCCTTTGTATTGCTTGCAAATCAGGGGGAATGGCAATGAGAAATAGAAACGGAAATAGATATAGAGACATAAAAATATAGAGATAGAATGAGGGGGGGGGGGGAAGAATTGGGAAATAAAATAAATATAAAATTTACATAGCTTGTATAAAATAGTCTGTACATAATTATAAAAATTGTATAGGAAATAAAATTTGATTATTTTTGTAGAGAGTGTTAATTATATCTACATATTGAATAACTGCAGTGAATTACGTGTGAATACTTGATTTGGGATTTCTACTTTATTTTTCTCTTATACAATATACAAGAACACGTTATGCGGAGTGACATAAAGTTCATTTCGTTTTTCTCTGTCTGACAACAAGCGTGGAAAATGTTAATCAAATACAACGTGACATTTTCAGTACTATTGAATAGCGAGTTAAAGATTGCCGAGATACCACACCTTGCGCATACGTGTTCTCCGACACCCGAGCTTGAGCACTATTTCATTTTAATGACATGCGTCGTTTACGCAATTACATTTTATATATGTAAATCGGTTTATATATCGGGAAACGAAAAATTTGCATCGCGTGCAAACACCAGATTTCCGCATTTTCCAGCTTGTTCTCGGCGATCGCGATCGCGAATTCTGTTGCATAAACGGCTGCTGTAAACCGACCGATTGTTACGTGGTTATTACTCATGTAAGCTCACAATTCGTTTTCTTCACTTATCTAAAGTCCCATGTGAGAAGCTACTACATTCTATTTATAGCAGTTTTTCGCCTCCTGAATATTTTTTCTTGCAATTTTTTTTGCCGCGATAATAATATGCAACACCGCACAATAAATATAACTAATTCCCATCTAATGAAGATTAAGAACAGTTTGGTAATCGATCGAGATTTTAAAATCAATTACTACATCCTGGGTTGGTATATAATAACATGTTGGACTTAGGAATGAAACTGAACGGAAAAACGTAACATTGCCCTCTTGCTTCGAGATCGTCGTTTCGACGATCAGTAACGGAGGAATTTGCGCAGCTGATCGATTCCGAGGGTGTCAATGTGTCTTCTTCTTGCTTCATCTTGGCCTGTTTAATGTGTGGCACGCCGTTTCTGAATCGGTTTAATCCAATCCAATCCTATCGTGATTCTGATTTTACATTTTAATGCTCCTTTCTCCGTTCTTGACCTAGACGTTGTCCTCTTCCACTTTCTTCTCGATATCTTTGAACAAGAGGGGGATTTAATCCTATCGCGAATCTCCCTCGGCTTTATGATGAAATCCCGCCTTAAGTCCTGCCTCGGATTCATTTGCCTTATTATATTAAGATCCACAGAAAAACGACGGATTAAAAATCATAGTGTAATCTTCTTTAATCAAATTCTTGATATTTTAAACCTCCGTAGATTCTTCACAGATTGTAAAGTGGGATACTTTTTACTTCCTAGCAAGAAATTATTTGCTAGCAAAAAATTTATTGGCACAAGTAACTATTTCAATTATTTAATAATAAAAATTAAAAGAGGAATAATAATGTCTTAACGAGAGCTGCACATCTCATTTTTTAGTTTTATTTTTTTGTAGAACTGTACGAGCAAGAGAAGTTAATTTATTTGAAAATTTCTTTTTCATCGTAAAGGGCTAGGATCTACATAAATATCCTGTTTCTATGTCTACTCAATTTCAGGATTTCAAAGAATAATCTTTTAATTGATCCTTCTTTTATTCTTCTAAATTGCTTTTTTTCTAAAACCGTTCGAGCATTCATTCCTCCTTTGCTTAAATTCTTTGATTGTACTTTAGTCCTTCTCTCAGAAGGACGGTTATGGCTATTGCACTAAAGTACAATCTGATGATGTCCCTTTTGATGTTTTTGCCCTTTACGATGAATTATTTTAAATTCGTACTGTCGATGTCTCTTCAACTATTGTATCAATTAACTCTCTAAATTCCTGAAAGACATTATATGTAGAGAGACACAATTATTCAACATGATCGATAAATCAAAAATCCGGTCATGCAAATCACGATTTCATTGAATCTACTGTGGCTAACAATTTTTACAATAGCTTTAACGTTTTTTGTCTTAGGATTATTTACTCTTTGTTTTATTTAAATTTAACAATACATCATTAAAATTACGATCGCGAGATGTGATTCTGTATGTATAAAGATGACCTATTTAAATGCATTTTTATTTTGTCGATTCGAGGAAAAAAATTCTAAATAAAAATTTATTTAAAATTAAACAGTTATTTTGAGACGTTAAACGTTATTTTGGAGAGCCTTTAAATGGTCAAGTAAAGATCGGATTCAAATTTGTCATTCTCATTAGTCATTTCCCAGTCGAATTTCTGATTAACAAAGACGTAACGGAGATTGAAAGAACTTTCTCCATCAGGCCCAAATGCTCGGTGAAAGTGTTTCTTTTACGCGCTTGAACGTACAGTACCGAATGTCCACTTCTCTATTGGAATCGTTCTTCGAATGATAATGTCGGATATTTCGAGGATTTTATGGGTCATTATCCTTGTAAATCATTTTACTGAAATTCTTAATACTTAAATCTATAAAAATTGCTTTAGCTTATAGTTTACATAAGAGATATATTATTAATCTTCTTGCTTGAATCCGAAATATCCGAACAAATTATAAAAATAGAAAATTACACTGTCAAATGTGTGCCATATTTATTATAATGTTGTATATAATTATTATATATATTATACAATACCATGATATACTTATGCTATTTTATATTATTAATTTTTTACATTTATTTATGACATTTCAATATAATTAAAAGTAATGTTTTATATATCGTTTATTATAGACATTCTACAGACTTTAAGAATAGAAAAATAGAAAAGATTTAAATGTTAGAAATATTAAAGACAAAATTTACATAATTAATGGACTGATGACTTAAATCATGCTATTAATTCTTATCTACGAGAATTATTAATTCTCTTCCAATTGTTTGACCCGCAGGAGAAGAGACGACGGGGGGGGGGGGGGGAGAAACAAAGTGTTATTACTTTCGTTCCAGGATAATTGGCGTCCATTGTCGATACCATCGGAGTAAATTAAACAAAGCGTGTCAGTGGTGAGTTTCTCCGTGGGTGGAGAACCACAACTTTCGATCTCGTTTTCCCGTTGAATTCAACGCACTGTTTGGCGGCCGATTTATTGAAATTTTATGGAAGCGGATCGTACTTTCTTTCGTCAGGCGAAGGTCGTTCTTTTCACCGATACAAACGATAATGATGAATTGCCAATATGCAAAACTGTAACGCCTGTATATTATAACGTTTGTTGTCTCGTTAAGTAATTAATTTTGTATCGCATTAGTCTGTTGATACATTTGTAACAGTATATGCAAAATTTTGTAATCGGATGTCATATCATTAAACGTATCACGTAAACTTTACAAGAATTTCTGCAAGCCCACATTTTTGTTTAGCATATATTTATATTCATTGCTAAAATTAAATTAATTTTCCATTTTTTTATACATTTGTTTTTCTAGATATAAAAAAAACAATTTCTTTAAATTTTTGCAATATTTTAAAATTTTTTATTATTTTTAAATTGTGGATTATTGAGGAAACATCATGTTGAATAATTGTTACAAAAAATTGCATTAATACTGTATAATAATAATTTTTAAAAGTGGCACTCGTATATTTTTATGTGAACATTAAAACGCGCGATTGTAGTAACTTTATTGGAACTTTTAACGAATTTGCTACAGAATTTACAGCCGTAAAATGAATTTGTATAACAAGCGGAACAAAGAAATATTATATTACAGTATTTTACAAATGCGGAAGTAAAACCTGTCGGGCGGGGCGGTGAGAAAGTTACGTCGCCCAGCTGTATGAAATTTTAATCGGGACGTAACGCTTGAACGAAGGTGTGTCGATTTTAAGTGACAAGTTTCACGTGGCAATAAATAAAAAAAAAAGATCAATCGTTTTACATAATAAACGCGAAAATCTAGTTACTTTATTAGCGAAAAAAAAAAAAAGAAATATTTTCGATGTGATTTTAAAATTAAATTTAGAGACACGATGTTTTAATCACAGTAGAAAAAAAAATGTTAAGACACGAATACCTCTTAATAAATTATAAAATTAAATAATGCTTTTTACAATTTAAATTTCAGAGAAATAAAAGTACATTCCAAAATTTTCACGTAGTTTTAAGTAGTTCTTAAATAATTAATTTAAAAATAATCTTTTAATTCAAATGATTAGTTTTTCGAAATAATAAATCAGTGAAGATGGAATTTAATAAAATTACAGTATAAAAAATTTATTATCCTTACAAAGATTTAAAAGAGATTTCCATTTTGTTTAAAATTTTTTAAAAGAATTCAATTTTAGTTATGCATTCCGAGTTGTAAATAAAGCCAAGAGTGTAAATGTTAATTAATTGGCGCTGATAATCGTACTGTATTTTCGCGTCAAACTTTTTTTTATTCACAAATTAAAGAATGATTCTAAAAAGCTCCAAATAAGGATATTTAGGTCAGTACGAATCGACAAGTGTAAATGTCTGCGCGATATTCACAGTCTATAGTTACAGTAATACTTTCGACCTTTGCTTACGTTTCCTCGGCTGTATATTAACGATTAATGAAGCGAATGAAACTATGAGGTTCTTTATATAACTCGCGGTATAAAACCCCCACTCTCATTGTGACTTCTAGCAATTATACTGCAATAGAATAATTGAACAATGTTTGTGTTTTTGGAGCTTGTCAATGTAAATATGATGTGTGAAATTTTTTTAGGTGAGGTTCTGCGATTATTAGAACGATATTCAAAAATGCAAATCTTACAATAGAATATACATTGAATCAAAATTAGATAATTTATTAAAATAAAAGGAACTACCCATACAAAGTGCATCAAAGAACTTCATTATACACGATTACTTGCGAAAAATCGCGATGTGTTCTAATGACTAGACTTTTTAATGTATTTAGATTTATAAATTAATATAAGTATTATAAACGCTGATTTCGGGAATACTTTATATAAAAGAACGGAAGGACTCTAGTTCAAATATTAAGAGTTTCTAGATTACGCATACG